CTACATAGAGTGGAGGTATTTCATCTGTTGCTGAGCTGAAAAAGGAGAGGAAAAATTAAATGCCCACTAAGCTGGTAGGGCATTAAAAGCTAATAATCGCAACCTGTGGACGTCGCTGCCTCTGCTGCTGCTGCTGCTGCAACGTCGACGGCGACGACGGCGATGGCAAGTTAAGCCTGGCAACGGCAACGGCAACAAAAATGATATAAAATGAAAATGAAAACTAAGCTGTCACTGATTGAGTGCAATGAAGCGTATGAAATAACAATTTATTTTTTAAGAGCTGAGAAAAAAGCTTGTGGCAAAGGCCAGCGGAGCGCAGCAGCAGCAGCAGCAGCAGCAGCAGCACCGACAACAAAATACTATATGAAATAGTCATAAAACTATAAAGGAAAAGGCAACCAGCAAAGGCATTCGCACACACACACGCACGCACACGCACACACACACACATACTCACATATATCCTGATTTACGAATGGAAAATTCATTTCAACGCCTAAGTGCCGCCGTCAAAACGTGTGCCGCACATGAATTTCCAACAATGCGTATTATGATATATACACATACATATATATATGACTTGATTTTGATGTGCTTGATACTTGAGTGTATGTGTGTGTGTGTGTGTGTGTGTGTTGGCAACAATAAAAGCCTAGAAAGCATGTCCTGCCCCATGCTTAGTCACTCGCTGTCAGATTGCGGCAAAGGAGGTAAAGGAGCCCAAATGCGATTATGACTGCCAGATTTAGTTGTCATACAAAAGCACTTAGCTTTGAAATTGTTTTGAATGATGGCGTTGCCAGCGAAGATCACAAGTCTAAGCATATGTATCAACTTATGCTCTCGCTGCCTTCCTCTCCCTCTCTCCATCTTCCTCTCTGCATGCCTTGGACTCTGGGTAATTTCGTCTAGGAAGTACGCACTTAGCACCCCAACCACTACTTGCCCACGCCCAGGCCGAGAGTAGCCCACATTTAATGGCAGCACTTCGCACGCATTTTCCCAGCACTTGTCAAAGTGTTAACAAGGCCAAGTCACTTGTTATGCGGCAGCTGAGCAGCTCGAGTGAGTTCCTACCCGCTCAATGATGTGTAAAGCCTTATAAATGATTTTGTGGCATTGTTCAGCCGTTAAACTGTGTGTGTGTGTGAGTGTGTGAGTGTGCCGCTAATTGGCCAAAGGGACAGCCCGTGGCAGTTGTTGGGTTAAGTGAACTCGCGCGCAGATAGAATGATTTGAGTTAGTCGTCGTAGCACTTACCACCGCCATTTTTGTAGCACAAATAGGGAAATCTCCAGACGTTTGCTAAATCGACGGCGAATCCAATAACCGATAATAAAAAATCCACCTTGCCGCTCCATGTTTCACGCTGATCGTTATTGCTATTGTTATCGTTGTCGTGTGGCGTCGGCGTCTTTGCTATTTGTCCGGTCGGTGACATCGCCGTTGCGACGATGTCCTAATCCCTGGCCAAAACGTCGTCGTCGTTTTAGTTTAACCCTCGCCGTCGCCGTCGCCCGCCAGCTCTAAATTACAAATAGAGATAGAGACAGAGAGAGAGAGAGTGAATAATAAATGCATTTGGTTAAATTAGTTGGATTACATATTAATTGCATATGCTAGATTAAACCTCAATCATGGTTTTCAACTTTTGCCACATATTGAAAATATGTTTCGCATGTTTGTGGCATACGACAATTTCGATGCGCTGCTTGAGTGTTTAAGCCGACACTTGATGCTCAATTGAGCTCAGAGTGTCTCTCTGTATGTGTGTGTGTGTGTGCGTCTGTGTGTGTGTGTGTGTGTGTGTGTGTGTGTTGGTGAAATGTCCATAGCACTTGAATTCTGTTTGGCCACGACATGCTCTCTAGCCCGAGCTTCAAGTGCTTGTTCGTATATTACGCATACGACGTGTGGCCGCCGCACACACAAACACTTGACAATTACAGCACAAAAACCAAACGATTCGCACATAAAGCATCGGTTGGCCCATCGACAAATCTCAGTTTACTCTCATTGTGCTCAAGCATGTTTGATCTATATATAAACATACCATACATGTGTATGTGTGTGTGTGTGTGTGTGTGCTTGTTCTCTTTCAACTCTTAACATAATTAATTGCTCCAATTAAATGTTCGCGCATTAGCTTAATTTAATGCCGAGAGCCGAGCTCAATTGAAAGCGAGCAAGTCGCACGATTCAATTAAAAGAATTAGCACAGCTGGAGCTCTGAAGATCTTTAAATCTCAGTTGCTGCTGTTTCGTTATAAGAGCTGAGGACTTGATGCAATTCTTGACCCCCTTAGATATCATAAAACATTTTTATTTTAATTGCACTAAAACATTTTATCATTGTTGTAAATTATATTATATAAATATAAATTTTAAAAATATTATATTTTTCTATTCTATAATGATAAAATGAAAAATGCATAAGATTTCTCCGATTTCCTGGTTTAGGTCTACATGGTATAACCCAGCCATTAAAATCATTCAGCGCGCATAATATTAACTGATAATAATGATGCTTAATAAATATGTAAGAGGTTTCTTCATTAATTTCATAAAATGAATAATCACTTGTTGACACTTTTACAAGTCTTACAAGATTTCTGACACGTCAATGCATGACTGCACAAAATATATTTTATTAATTGTATTTTTTTTTCTGTTTAACAATTTGTATTTATAAATAATTTTAGACACTGAAATAACGTTTGACAGTGGTGAAATTATAGTAAATATATTATTTGATGCTGTTGATAAATCATTTTGTGGGAAATTCGTAAATGTAGAAGGTACTTAAAAATAATAAAAGAAAATTTGCAAATTTAGAAGGTACTTAAAAATAATAAAAGAAAATTTGTAAATTTATACGGTACTTAAAAATAAATAAAAGAAAATTTAATTTACTAAAAATTTTAATCATGTAACATAAAAAAAAATTACACAAAACCAATTTATGATCACTGACTGAATGGGTTTAAAAAATAATCCCTATAATAAAACCAAAGAAGAACAAATTTATTAAACGAATTTATGGAAATAATATTTCGTTTAAATAGTTTTATATAACATTAATTACACAGGGGATAAAAATATATTTTAAAAAGTTATAATAAATAAAATGAAGATATATATATTTATTTGTCTAAAATTTTTTTTTATTTAATATATGCATATTTATTTTTAATTATTAGAATATTTTGCACATTGAATTAAATTGTGAATTTGTAAATCTATGTCTTGAATATTATTAAATATTCTATGCCACAGAAACTTATACATCCCAATGAATTCCACTTATTTATTTAAGCACACCAAATGCATACATACCAGCTAGTTTCCAAATGCTTAAATCACACACTTTTGCCAATCCATATTTTTCAACAATTCTCAAATTCACAAAGAAACTATGCAGAATATGTTAATGAAAAGCGCCACAAAATTCCGAGCTCTCTCTACACTTGACTCTTTAATAACTACACATATTTTTGCACTGTCCGTAGAGCTGATAACCTATTTAATGGAGCTCACTGAACTAGGAATTGGGCAACAGCAGCTGAATCAGTTGTTGCGCTAACGGTAACATTCAAACGTATGCAGGCAAGTGCTCTATGCCAGTGACTTTTATAGCCTGCGACAAGTGGTTGGCTGCACCTGCACCCTCCCCACACTCACACAGCCACACACACACACACATAGAGCTACAAGTGTGTGTGTGTGTGTGTGTGTGTGTGCGTGTCAAACGCAGCAACTGCTGAAGTTGAACGTCGCATGCGCCAAGGAAACGTCTTCAGAACGGAAGTGACCAATTAGAGTTGCCTTTGTGCGTATGTACGCAGCTATATGTATATGCATGTGTGTGTGTGTGTGTGTGTATATATATAGCTTGCATGTGGTAGTGTACATATGTATATACTGTGAGCTTAACATGCTGTATGTTAGGCGTGTGAAGCTTATGCCCGTCAGATGCTGAGCTTTTTAACAGTGCTCTGTTAAGCAGCACTAAGCTTAAGCAGTGCTCTGCCACTGTTAACTAACAGAAAATGCATTAGAATGAGAATTTTTTGAATTAATAAGAGAAGAAGACGTTAATTAGCATTATTTTAATAGCTCGGCATGACTATAAAGGCCTTTCTGTTTTTACAGACAAATAATGTAAATAAATAAACAGATTATAAATATTGACAAAAGCAACACACAAATATTTGTTGCTATGTATGTGTGTAACATTTACGATTTGATCAAAAGTCATGAAAGATCTACGATCAGCGATCAACACATACATATGTATATGTACATGAGCAGCAATAAACGCGGCATGAGAACTACTATTAATGTTTTGCTCTCGCAAAGCTCAAGAATGTTTCGAAAAAAAACTGAAAATTATTTCGAAAATGCTCACACACCTAGAATTCAAGTGAAAACGGCGTAAACAAAATGTCTTTTTTTAAACATTTTCAATACATTTTGCTGGCCAGCGACAAAAGCCGCGAGAGTCGCGACTCGGAGAGCAGTTGGCAACGGGTTTTCATCGAATGCGGCCACGGAAAATGCAGAACTGAACAGAAAGACTACTGAAGAAAGCTAAAGAAAAACGCATTGTGATCCGTGCAACGAACTTACTTAATAAAAAGATCAAGAGAGAAGAAAACTTCATCAGTTTCATATGCAGTTCCAAACAACAGTTAATCAATGATGATCTAGTGAATGAAGTGATTTATAAATGATATAGATACATATGTATACATATGTATTGCTGAACTGTCGGTTTATGTTATTTTATATAAGAGGCAACGAGCATTATTTTTAATTTCGCTGTTGATAATATGCAAATGTGTAGGCAAAAGAATAGAAAAGAAACGAGACGAATTTCACAAAAACCAAAATCCTAGGCAACTAAACAAAATACATTTCTATTTGCAACTGTAAGAGGCAGAGCTGAGTGTGTGTGTGTGTGAGTGCATGTGTGTGTGTGTGTAGACGGTTCAATTAAATATTTGTTTGACAACAACTACAACAACAATAGCTATTGCTGCGGCTGCTAAAACTATATATATATCAGCAACGAAATAACATTGAACTTAAGCCGATTGGCAGCTAATGTGAGCTACAAATATACTAGATATATACTATATCAGTATATATAGCATTAAGTAAATATATTGTTAAGTGTAATTAATTAATAAAAAATGCAATTTGGCGCCCATTTTCCAGGAAGTGCCGAACAACCAAAGCATCGCCAGAAATTTATCTTCTGCATTTTTTTTAACTCGCACAACGCTACAAATAGGCCGACAAAGATATATACATATATGTATATGAATTTATGTATATATGTGTATGTATTGGGCTGGTCTATATGTACTCTGATTGCCTTTGTGCAGCCGCTATAAATATTTACAACGCGCTGCTGCGGCTGTTAATACGGAAAACCAAAAGCAAACCAAACAAATGAAAGCAAATTTAATTCGAGCATCGTTTCTCTATTTTGTTGTCTAGTGTATGTCTACGATACAAGTCTAAGCAAAAACTAATGGTCCACTAACTGCATATTTCCGACCGGGACACTCCAGCAACATTCGCATTACAATAACTAATACAACCCATGTGAACGAACTGCAGCCAAAATGTCGAAGAGACCACGAGGGCATATACACAAAATTCGTGAATTCGAATTGGAAAAGGTAATGTGCAATCACACTAGTTTTTCCCAAACTGTTGCTAAATTCGTTGTAAATGCTTAAAATGTGCTCGCCAAATGTTTCCAAATGAAATTATGCAGAAATATGCCCCCCACAAAGGCAAAATTTATTTATGAGGTAGTTAAAAGCAGCTGGAGAGTCATCGAAATGCGATTTTTCTTAATGTCTTATTTTTTAAATATATTTTTATACCCTGAACCCATTGAAAATGGGAAATCAGGGTATAATGGTT